TTTCATTAATTTCATCCATCCCTGAAGGCGGAGCCACATTGGTGCCAGCTAATTAAGACCTATTTAGGGCAGCTCAGGGCCCTTTATCAGCCCTAAATTAGCTTTGCGTTTTTAAATGGGGACTATAGCTTTCTCAATTACTACTTAATTAAATAATGTGCTTGCATTTGCCAATGTATTTCTAAAGTGGGAGGCGAGCTGCAATTGCCCACCTGCCTACAGGTAAGAAGAATATCTCCCACTGGCTGGCTGCTGCTTCTCCAGGAGAGTTCACGTTCATTTTGTGTCAGGACATGGCCAGGCACATAATCGCATTCTTCGGATGCTGAGTGTGGCACTGTGTGCCACTGTCAGCCTGACATCACCTCTAGGGTATTTCGGTCTTAAGATGTATTAATGCAAATGTGTAAATGTCAGCAGGCTAGTGTTATTTATGCATGCCAATCATTTAAAGAGGGAAGAAATATCCATTTGGGTCTAGTTTATTTTGAATATAAGACCTTTAATTCCAAAGTTTTCTCGTTTGTTGAAGGTTGATTCCTAGAAAAAATATTTGGTTGAGTGAAAATACAAAGGTAACCACTGCCCCAAGGTCCTAGAATTCCAATGAAAACTGGGCCCCAGATGAAGAGAGAAAGGACACGCTGTTTCTTTCTTTTCTCTCCGTTTCTTTCCCATAAGGTCACTCTTTCTAATTGACAAGCCAAACAGTTTTATAGAATGACTGGTAAGAAAGCATATTAAATTTCAGTTGGTTTGAAAAAGTATTCCAATATGCTTATGAGTTGATTTGAACTTATTCTAAGAAATGTAACACTATATACATTTCTTTTACTACTTCATGTTTCCTCAGTGAAGAATCCCTTAAGACAAATAAAAAAAGCACTGGACAAAATGAAAAAATACCCACCTCACATGTGAGAGAGGTTTATACTTCTTTAAAAGGATTTTGACAATTTGAAGAAGCAAGCTGAGAGTCATTTTTTTTTTCCTTTGAGAAACTCCACTTAGTCATTTTCCTACCATGAATCATTTTAACTACTAGGGACACAATTTTTTTAATTCTATAAATTATACATCAGAATGGTGACATAACCTCTCCGTTAAAAACCTGACGATGAAAATGAGCACTTGCTAAAAAGTTCCAGTAAGTTCAGGCAAATCAGCCAAAAGAGCTTTACAACGAAAGTCAAATTAAACAGAGTCCCTTCTTCCTTACTCCCTCATGTCTGCAATGACATATCCACTGGCCATATTCCTATTTACTTAGGAGAAAAATATTTAAAACTTTTGTTAGGACATAAGTAACACACATTTTGTGAGCATGGACCCACATGAATGCTTGCCATTAATACATCTTCTTTGACGTAAAATAATCTGAAAACGCTGACAGTAATAATATTGCTGGTTGTGATGTTATTCTAAGAATGTTGTGTGTATGTTGTGGGAAGAAACAGATGAGTAAGTACATCGGTGTCTCTAGGACCTGTGGTTGCCAGTATGGCAAAAAGGAGAAACACATGAAAGATACAGGAGGTAAAATGAAAACATGATAGCCCTGAATCTGAATTGGAAGTTTCAGTTTGAACTCATAATGATTTTATCTATAAACAATATATGCAGCATACATTGTTTCTATGCTAGCTTTGTCCAATGAAAAGGCCAAGAAATAAAGATGAACCTAGTAGCAATGAGTAGCACCAAGATTATGCTGTCTGAAATACTAAAAGGACCAAAGTTCCTTGGAGAAATGTCTGAATTGAGCTTTACATCAGAATATGTACAAGAGCCTAAATCAACCTGTAACACCAGGAATCAAAGACACTATCCAAAATTACTGATGGCCTGTCAAAAGGACTCCAAAACTAATTCGAATTGGCTCCCATGGCACAAAGGAGGACACTTTGTGCATGAAGACATAATTCTAACGAACTGAAATATTCCAAATATTGCTAAATATATGTCAGTATGTAAACATTGATAATAATAAACTTACTGGTCACTTTTGGAGGATGCTAGGGAACCAATGCCTTAGAACTGTAAAGAGAAAGGATTGGTCCTATCTTCTATCACTTGTTTAAAAAAAGAAAAAAAAGTTAACGAGGAAGAGTTTCTCTTTATAAAGTTCCAGTTAATATAAATGAAGACATGAAATATCACCATTTTGCAACCTCTAATGAACTACTAAATCTAGACAATGATCATTAATGACTGCTAATGTAAAAGGAGAAAACTGGACAGTATTCCTGCTGATAGAAGTACCACCTAATGGTCTTGGTAAGAAGAAAATAGGGCATGAATCCAGTAAAGCCTCATCAAAGAAATATCAGTATACAAAAAACACCATAGGGGGTGCAATCGGCAAAAATTATCTTGTGGAATACTGTATAGGACAAATGACTAGGTTTTTTTTTTCCAATAATGGGGAGAGGGATATATTAAGATAAATATAGAAGACATATCAATTAGTTGTAATGTATAGACTTTATGCTAATCCTGATTTGAACAATGTATGGACCTTAATGCTAACCCTAATCTGAATTACAGTTTAAAAATATTAATAAGGTTATTGGAGAAGTCTGAAAACAAACTATATAATGTTATTAAAGAAATATTGCTGATTTTTATGTAGGACAATGACATTGTATTTCTTTTCAAGATTCTTTATCTTCTAGAGATAGATTCTGAAATATTAATGAAAGAAATAATATGATGTCTGGCACTTGCTTCAAAACAATCCTTTGGGAGAGAGTGATAGGGCTATAGACGAAACAATACTGGACATGGACTAATAGTTATTCAACCCAAACTGTGAGGATACAGAGGTTCATTTACACCATTAGTCTCTCTGTTTTATAATTTTGACATTTCCTTCATAAAGTTAAAAAACATTTTTGTTTGAAATTTTGCAATGAACATCAGATCACTATCTATGGGAAACCCTTAGGCAATAAGATCCACATAGCTAAAGTTAGCATATAGTAAATTATAGAGCAGATAACGGCCTTCAAAGTCATTCTGGTCAACCTTTTGCCACCCAACTGGATTCTACCAAAGCCATCCATTCTGTTCATTTCTCAAGCCCTAGCATAGTTGTTTTTTTCAGTCTCGTTGCAGGACTCCATGATGCAACCAGACACGAATAGACTTGATGAGGGAAATAGAAGGAAACATTATAAAATCAATTTGGCTCCCCCCCCCCCCCCCCACTTTTATTTGGGTAACTTTACCAAATGAATGATACTTGGAAATCAATCTTACCAAGCAAGCTTTTTCCCTCTATACAAATAGCTTTTCTCATCACGGCCAGTAGGAAAATGAATCTGCCAAAGCTATTTTCTCCCAATTCTTGCTGTACAATCCACACATCTTTGACAGTGTGCCGTCTCACTGAAAGCTCACAGAAAAAGCCAACATGATATAAATATAGGAGCATATAGCATGCTGAGTGCTTCTCTGATAGCCCCAAATGATTCTAGGGCATATAGTTATGACTGCGGGATACCCTGAGGGCTGACTATGACTAATGAAATACCAAATATATCTAATTAATTGCATTGCTCTGGGCTAATGAGAGACCAGAAATTTCCAACCCCCTTGAGATGGTCATATTTATATAGAATTGCACTACACGCCTACTCCTTTGAAGTACATACCTATTCATTTATCTCTTCTCCCTCTCTCTTTGGAATGCTTATTCCACACTGATTCAATTTTAACTATTGGGATTCTCTTTGCAAACTCTAACAGGGGAAAGGGCCAACATTATGGTTATTCCATGTTGTAGTTCACTAGAAGCTGTATATTTTGGGTGCTCAGAAATAGAAAATGCTATGTTCAACCTACATTATCAATAGGATAATTGGTCCAGATAAGGTTTTAAAATAATTATCAGCATACAAATTACACCTAGAGATATCAGAAACTTTCCTCCCACAAGCACACATACCCCAAGGTAGTTAAAAACTTAGATTTGATAATACTAAACAGTGAAAGACATACGTTTTGAGGAAATCAGAATGTTAATATTGGAATTACAGCCAATACTCAATTTATCAATGATACTACATGAATAACTAAAATTCACACCTGTCTTAAAACTCTTGCAATTGGTTTCAATATTTTCCTTCAGTGGATCTTTATTAAAATGATAAATATGAACTAATAATTCTACTTCTCTCCAGTACACTGCTTGCCTTTCTAAAAAGAAAGAAAAAAATGGAAGGCACTAGAGTTATATGGGAGAGGGGGATAAGAGGGAGCAGAGAGAGAAAATGGGAGATGTAAGGAGGGGGAGAAAAATGAGGTGAACAAGCCTCAGGATGAGGAAGTGGGAAGGGTGTTTTATAGAAGACTATGACAAAAAATGGATGCAATGAAAAATGCAAATTGGTTTGTTGGATAATTGAGTAAATGGTATTTATACCTCATTTCTCTTCAAGAATCCACCGTTAATGATTTTCAGTAATGTATAATTTCAATATGGTATTCTGCTGAACACACCAACATATCTGTTAGATACCAAGTTATGGTGCTCACGATCATAGGGTCTATTTGCATGCAAGAAGTCGTGCAACCTTATTAGAGAATCAATAGCCTGTTCTGTCTTGTAGTCTCAGGTAAATTTTTGCCACAATTTCCAAAGGAGTTTAGGTACTAAAGTTCCTTAACATGTCTGTTTTGAGACAGAACATGTGTAGACTTCCTTTTGGCTAACATCCAATTTACCCAATAGCAAATTGAGCTAAATAGAACAAATCTAAAGATATCTTGGGGACGCATCCAGTATTTTTTGGATCCTCAAGCCAATCAAAATGGAGAGAACAGACGGTAGTGTAGGTGGAATAAATGGGGCCTAGCTGCTGGCTCATCAAGTAATCATAATAGTCAGGAAAACATAGAACAATCAATTTGAAAAATAACTCTGTTCATTTGATAGCTGGCAAAAGAACTCAGCAAGGAGCTAGCAAAAAAGACAAAGAGGCTGCCTCTCAGAGGACTCACCTGTCTTTCCCAGTTTCCTTCTTAAAAATGCCATCACAGTAACTCATGCGCTTCTCTGTGGTCACATAAATTTGGGCAGTCGGGTAGATGTCAACAGTCTTTTTCAACATGTTGTAAACAATGCCATTGCCGTCTTTCCTCATATTGCGGAAAGGACCCCAAATAACGTAGATAGTAGTGTTTGCTTCCTTGAAGAAATAATCAGGGTTTTTTAGCAAAAGAGGAACACTGGTATGGGACACAACTCGAATCATTGTCATGCGGCCAACATCTTCTTCATAGCCCTTGGTTGGGGCATTGTTCATTCTCCAAATGCAGGATGACTGATCTATCTCATTCCCCACCTTCTGGCCAACCATCTGACCTGAGTTTGACACTATGGCGCAGAGGTCACAGTCCAGTTGCAAAGGCTGAAAAACAGAGAAATAAGACAGGGGGAGAAACATGTAAATTAGCACATTCCACCTATCCAAACAAGTTCCTTTGGGAAGATGAAATTCAGATATTGGGCATAGCTGCTGTAGGAATTTCTGAAATATATGTACTGATCCCACAGTAGGGGTTATAAAGCTAGGGGCATGCTTCCATTTAAAACATGAATACAGATTGTTAAGAAATAGTTCTATTTAATGATAATTTCTATCCCCTTGTGTCAGTTTAAAATTAAATGGAAAAGTAGTCATTTGTTTTCTATTCTAAATAATGACTTTTAATTTAAAACCATAATTTCAAATGAAATAAGGAAATGGGGAAAGATTTGATCTCTTTAATAAGGACAGTGGCTAAAGACAGAAATGCAAAGGGAATATATCCAGGCATCAATTCTGTATTTTACTTATATGTGTGAATAGTTAAGTAGCCGTTGATGAAAATATGAAAAATTCAGCAAATGAAGACGTTTTGAACCAAGAACTATTTAAGACAAGCTGCAGGCTAACAAAAAAATTTTACAGAAACCCTTAAAAAAATCCCCTTGTATCACCATGTTAACTGGCCTTTGTGTTTATGCTTATTTAAAAAAAAAATTTAACATTTATTCATTTTTGAAAGAGAGAACAGAGTGTGAGCAGCAGAGGGGCAGAGAGAGAGGGAGACAGAATGCAAAGCAGGCTCTAGGCTCTGAGCTGTCAGCACACAGCCCGACGCAGGGCTTGAACTCACTGACCATGAGATCATGACCTGAGCTGAAGTTGGATGCTCAGCCCACTGAGCCATCCAGGCACCCCATGTTTATGCTTATTTTACATGGATAAAACAGGTTTCTTTTAAGAACTCAGAGAGAAAGAATGTACAGAGACAATCTCTAGGACTGGCCTAACCACCGCCCTCCTTGTTTTAAATCAATGAAGTAACAGAGACTCCGAGGTTATGCACCAGCTCTCAGAACTTGCAGATGAAAGATTCAAGTTGCAGTGGCAGATTCAAATCTAGATCTAACTCTAAACCCGTTGCTCTTTTCCATTATTCCCTGCATTCCCTCCTCTAAAGCAAAGCAAATAAATTCCTTTTATTACTTTCCTCCTCCATGAGGAAAAGTCATCCTATCTTTTACAACAGTGATAAAGGACCAGTGCACTTTGTTGCTATATGTCATTCTCATCTTCCTTCCATGAGATTCCACGTTTTGTATCTGACATCTGATCCTATATTTTTATTGTGCCTATTGGTCATTGGCTCTTATCACACTGGGTACTGCCCTTACTTTATTAGTTATGTTGTATTTTATCGTTTAATTATGTCTGTCCACTACATAGCAAACTCTGTAAGGGGCAATGTCTATCTTCTTCATTTTAATCCCAGAAGTCCTCGGATTACTATAGTTCAGTATATAGCAGCTAAATTAGAAAATGAAAGCAATTTAATTCAGATAACTTATTGGAAGCCTGAACACTGAACTTGATACTAGGGAAGAACTGGACTTTTCTAATTCAGCAAGAATTGTTGATTTAGATGAAAAGAGAAATGTAATCCACAAGGAACCTATCAATATACAAACAGGTTCAATCTAGGTGAGTAAATGGAGAGGCAAAGTACCTCAGACAAGTCACCTGCATAATTACCACACAACTGTAACAAGACATTTTTCCTATCAATGGTAGGAATCCAAAGCAGTTCCTGAGCAACTATGATGTGCCATGTTCTAGGGCTTGGGGATTATTCAACTGTGAAAATTTTAAGTAGAAATCCCTGACCTCATAGATCTTACATTCAACGGGGGAGGAGAAAGGTAATAAGTGAATCAACATAGTATGCAATTGATAGAAGAAGACAGGTGCTAAATAGAGAAAATTAAAGCAAGGAAGGGGGTTAGAATGTGTGTGTGTGTGTGTGTGCGTGTGTGTGTGTGTGCACACGCATGTATGTGGTGTGTGTTGGTGGAGGGATCAGAAAAGGTCAGGGGGTGAGTGAGAAATGATATTTGAAGAAAGACTTGAAGAAAGTAAGAGGGCTGGGTTTGGGGATTTGGGTGGGGGGAATATCCTGCAAAGCTAAACCAAAAGCCACTACAAACACCCCCGCGGCAGGAGAGGAGCAACGAAGGGAGCAGTGTGGCCTGGCTGAGCATCGTAGAGATGCTACGGTACCGGGGTCAGAGAGACGACCAGGGAGACATTGCATAGGCTCTTTCACTTAGGAGCCTTTGGAAGGCTCCGGATAGAGGAGTGGCTGATCTGCATTATACTTTAACAGCATTGGCTGCTATGTGGCAAACTGATAAAAAGGAGAAAGGGCTAGAAACTTGGGAGAACAGACTGCTGCCACAATCATGGCATGATGTGTGGCATGACGGTGACTAGGACTGCATCAGATAGCAGAGGAGGGAGCAACATGCTGGCGACACACTGGAGGTATTCTGAAGGTAGAGCTGATTGGCTGGACCAGTAAATGGAATGTAGGATCTGAGAGATAGAGAGGAATCAAGGGTAACTTCAGATTTTTAGCCTAAGAAACTGGAAGACTGGAACTGGCTTTAAATGAGAAGGCAAAGGCTTTAGGAAAAGCACAGGATCAGAGGAGGAATACGAGCTCATTTTCAGATCTGTTAGATGTGAGATGCCTTGAACACAGACTCCCACAGCTAATGTTATAACAAAACTACTCAAACAGCTCTAAAACACTTATTTTTTTTCCTGATTATTGAAGTAATATGGATTCATTGTGGAAAACTTGAAATAAATCAAAGAAAAACCTCTCCGTATTTTTGCCACTTGACAATTGCTACAAAATTTTGTGGTATTTTCTTCCTTCTAGACAGGTTATTTTAGACAGGCTGAGATACCATTTATAAAATTTGGCAGCCTTTGTTTCTCATTTAATTTCACATCATTAAACTTTCCCATGCCGGTAAACACCTCTGAGGGATATTTTTAATGTTGACACAGTATTCCATTTTGTGGACATACTTTAATGTACCTGTTTGCCCACCATTGGGCATTTAGCTATTATCTGATATTTTTTCTGTTGTAAAACTGCTTTGCTGACTATCCTTGTGTTTCCCACTGTACTTTGGATGCTAGCATTTATTCGGTTAACTTAACTGCACTTTTTTTAGTTTTTATTGCGCACCTGTGAAATACGCTAGACAGGCAAAAGTATTTAATATCAAAATTAAGGGTTTTGAAAAAATCTTGACTTGTTGAATCCACAAAGTCCATTTATGAAATGTCTTTTTTTTCCCATTTAAGAAGAGATTCATTGAGCTGTTAGAATCACATAGGGATTGAACAGGGCTGGACATTAAACAACACAGCTCAGGAGTGGACTGGATGTACCACCAAGGTCTCACCATTTATGAAGTGTCTTAAAACTCTGCTACCAAAGGGACTGTCCATCACCCCTGCTATAAGAAGATTTCTGAACGGTAGGTTAGAATAGGTCTGCTCAAGGTTGAGTATATTAGTGCACTTGGAAATGTGTTCTTTAGATTGGTGCCATAGTAAGACTTCACCGACGGTCAGATGGAGGCGTAAGTGGACGCCTCTTGGGACCAGACATTGATCTCAGACCTTCATGCATCAAGGAGCCTACAGTTTTTCAGGGCGATAAGAAAGAACACGATATTCTTTCTGCCAGACAATTTGCAGCAGGGCCTAACATACATTACACTTAGCTAAGTCCTCTAAACCCACTTAGAGTCATGCAAATCAATGCCTGATTTAAACTGTGTGTGTCATATGGCACACTCCAACTTATCACCAAGATGCATATGGTGCAGGGAGGTTACATTCCATTTTCTGCTCCAAGAAGTTGCCTCACTGTATAATAAAAGCATTTTTTGGGGTATGGCCTCTACAAATTAAAAAAAATTTCAAAAAGAAAAAAGAGAGAAAGAGCCTTGGATGTGTTTTGATCTACAAATTTGCATCGGATTTTCGTAGTCGTTAGAGTGAATTAGCTGGTTGTGCTGTAACAAGCCTTAATTTAACTAATAAGAATCAGCACGCTGGTTTCACTTGACAATTGTAACCTCTGAAAGTGATCAATTAAGACATCACAATCTGTTTCATGACAACATATCGGGTTGCCGCAGCTGTGCAGATTATGAGGTCAGCAGCTGACTAACAACTTGAGGGTAAACACTGGCAACAACAGCCTCTTGTTTATGTAACAAATATGTAATTGGGCAGAGTGCTAGGAATGTAATGGCTTGGGGCATAGGTGGTGATCTTTAAATTGTCCCTTTCTTTTATATATTGTGGCCATCGCCAGAGTCTTAAGAGCCTTCCACGTACCTATCCTGCTTGGCCATTGTCCTGCCTAGCTGTCAGACCTCCTAAATGAGGTACCAGGAGACATGGCTACACATGGTGACCACTCTATTTGCCATTTGGCTGCAGGGACCATTTTACAGTATGTTGGAGAGCAGGGCTGGATGAATGAAACATTCCTAATCAGCATCAGAAGCTGCAGGTAACACCAAGAGCTCACTAAGGCCCAAGGGACTCATTGATACCTTTGAAGACACTTTAAACTACGGTAAGCCATGATAAAAAAGAAAGAAATACCTAGCAATGAATGCATGGTTTGACCCAAGAGCTACTCTTATATGGTTATCTCCATTCTTTTTATTAGCTTTATCGCTGTATCTTGTGATCTCAACTTTCTTTGGTAAAATGTACTGCTGTTTCTAGAACTTGTTTATATTATTTGACTTGGGGCCCTTTCTCGAAAATGTATTCCATATGTCTCCACTTGCCCGGTTCTGCCTCAGTAAGCAGTTTCTTCTCAGATTGAGGCCCTGGATTTTCTGAGACCTTTAGAAAGATTTAACCAACTCCACTTTATCAAGCCCTATCTTAATTTTGAATTTTCCTTTTTAATTGACTTGTCCTTATTTTTTGTTTCATTTAAAACAAGCATAACCTCTTCATCTTTTTCTGTTGCACACTCAAAACATCATCAAGCCAAATGCTTTGGTTGGGCTTGCACTGTGTATATAAACTGAGATCGCCTCAATGTTCAGGTGACTCTGACTGGGCAACTGCGCTCCTGGTAAAGGAAAGCCCACAAACATCAAACACTTGCTTTTATTTAAAATCTAACATGTTGAGAGGCACCTTGGTGGCTCGCTCAATGTGAGTGGGTGGCTCACTATTGATTTCAGCTCAGGTCATGGTCTCAGGGTGGTGGGATCGATCCCCATGTCACTCAGTGTGGATCCTGCTTAAGATGCTCTCTCTCTCTCTCTCTCTCGCTCTCTCTCTTTCTCTCTCTCTCTCTCCCTCCCTCCCTTTTTCCCTTCTCCCCCACTCGTGCTCCCTCTAAAAAATCTAAATGTTGACTTTTTTTAACAGTAAGATCACTACATTTGATTTGGGTATTTCTCCCTTGCAAAAGTATACAAACTCTCTACCTGCATATCTGGTTATGAACACTCAGCTTGTGGAAAGTTAAAAATTTGGAGACTTCTATTAAACAACCGAGTAGTTTTTACTTAGTACTTATTCTGTGAAAGGCAGCATGAAGGATAAAATAATTTTGGAATTCTAATCAGTGTGAGCTTTTAATCTTAGTACACAGCTCTGAAGCAAAGTGGAGTTCGATGATTAACTAGGGTCAATTCATGCACTAGTTTAAAGGCCTGAGGGACTGTCTTGAAAAACAAGTCCTTTCTCTGCTAAAGTGAATCATGACATTTGTCTCCTTACAAGAGAAAAGGACTCGGTTCCTATCTTGGGCACAGAAAAGGATGGGAGAGGGAGGAAAGGAAGAAACAGAATGAGAAAGATAAATGAGCATAATGTATTATATTTATTGGTGGAAACATGATTGAACACCTATTATGGGCCTGTCATCCTACCCAGCACTTTACTACATGATTCCATTCATGCTTATAATAAATTCTTCATAAGTTACATTTTTATTTCCCATTATAGAGTTGGGAAAATTGAGATGAACATGATATCCAGTAGGTATCAGATATCTCTCAGCTTTAAAAAAGGAGCATATGTTACCTTTTATGAAATGTACTCACAGCACTCAGAAGGGAGAGATATTATAGAAATATCTGATAATAATTTTCATTATTCCTAATATACATATGGGCAAACACCTCAAGTCTCACCCAGTATTGTGTTAAAATTATTTATATTAAATTATAAGTAAATGCTTTTAAACAGCTTGGTGAACAAGAATTTCACCAAAAGAGGACAATGTTTCCCAACTGATGAAAGGCTACTTAGGAATATTAGGATTTGCATATGAGCAGAATTAACCTCTTTTTTTTAGCAATGGTATTAGCATGGCATATGGAATTATGTGGAAATTTTTCAATTATTTTCAATTTGAAATATGGAATATGGCTGTAACTTCAGTCTAAGGTAAACTAATCACAATGAATTTTACTAGCCTTGAATGATTCTCCACATCTTTTTTAAAAAATTTATTTATTTATTTTGAGAGGGAGAGCATGAGTGGGGAAGGGGTAGAGAGAGGAGAGAGAATCCCAAGCAGGCTCCGCACTGTTGCCTGGAGCCCGACTGGAGGCTCAGTGTCAGGAACCGTGAGATCATGACCTGAGCTGAAACCAAGAGTCTGACGCTCAACTGACTGAGCCACTCAGGGGCCCCATACTTTTACTTAATTTGTTTTTCAGAACTTTTTCATAACAGCAGTGAGTTGTATTTCTTTCTGAAACATTAAGTGATTATAGTCTACGTCTGCGGTAAAAAAGGCCATGGCAGATGATGTTTTTAGAAGCTGTTCCCCATGGCTAAAGGGAATATCTCCCCCTACGCAAAAACCTCCTTGAGGTAAATTCACTTTAGAAGTCCACAATGCCTGCTTTCAAGTCCTTGGGAATCCAAGGGAGCTCTAGACTGACAAACCATTCTCTAACTCAGGAGTCATTCTCTCCTCTGTGCTTATAAAGATTCCAGAACACTGGCTGATTGGGATCCTGTGTCCCTAGTGCCTATTTTTAATTTTTGTTTTACTAGGAGCATGAGTGTTTGGCACAAAAATGAAATCTGTTTGCAAAAATGCTAAAGAATGCAAACCCAGGGAAACCAAAAAGGTCCTATATTCTTTGATCCTATGGGGAAGGTTGGGAGGAAGGTTGACTATTCTTTCCTTCTTTTTAAGAATCTGTGCATTTTTAAAACTAGCCAGCTTTATTTTTCTGTGTTTAAATATTATTTAAATAGACTCTAGAAATCAATTTACCATGATATGTTCAATTGACCCTTACTTGGTTTAAAAAAAAAAAAAAGGAAAAATTACCCAAACTAGCAGGTTATTCACTTTGATTGGCTAGTTTATCCTTTTTTTTAATTTTTCAGTCATGTTTCTTTTGAAATTAATATACACGTAGTGAAAGAACTCTCCCGTTTCTCTGCTCTAAGTTTATACACACACACACACACACACACACACACACACACACACACACACAGAGATACACATACACACTCATACACACATGGTTACTCTCATCCAGCTAATGATAACACTCATTCTACTGGCCACTTTTTTCATCCTGCTCCTTACCAACTGCTCTGGAAAATTCCCCTTCTCTCTTCTCTGGGTAAGAATCTGACAAATTGTCCTGTCTTTTTTGAATGATATATTAGGACAACTGCCAAGCACTTTACATTTTAATCAGCAAGAAGAATGAAATATTTAACCTTTCCTTTTTTTCTCTGTGAATAAGCTTATAGACAAGATAATTAGAGCTTATAGAATAGATAATTAAAATCTGTGAATTAAAACTTGCAAAACAGTGTGGTTTCTCCAGCAAAGAGAAATGGCCATGTACGAAAGGTCACCTGTCAACCAGTTCTAGTTATTAAATCTCTGTATTTATCACTAAGGTGGCTCTATGGAAAACGAAGGTCAAGACATTAAATTATGAAACAGTCAGGATTAGAAAAGGTCACCAAAAACTCAAGTAAAATTTAACCAAACCTGCTAATTCTGCACCCTAGAAGCAAGCAGCCGCAGCTGGGGATGAAAAGTAACACTGGAGAGCACAAATCTATCTCCCCATTTTAGCCCCATACTGAAAACGAATTTCTATCTGATGCCTTGAAGTCCAAAATGAAACTCGCTCCTCTCAAATAAAAACAGGAGCTTCGATAAATATTTCACAATGAAAATCATGTTTGCATAGAACTAGCTTAAATTATTAAAAACATTGTTTTACATGACTCTAACGGTTGCTTTCATTTCAACCATAAGAATGCAATTTAAACTATTGGCCATGGGGCACTCCTGGCACCCTAAATGCTTTACAGGACAATTAGCAACTCACCACTCACTAATTTACTATTTAAATATTAAAACAAATGAGATCTTTGCTTTTCATCATCCAATTTGAACAAAGCAAGTTGAACAAAACTCCAGAGATACACTCTTCAGTTTGCTGTCGTTTATTTCTCTACTCTTCATGAATGTCTTTAGAGTTTTAGTTTTAGAGGCTTCAACATGTATAATGATGCCATTGGGGAATAGATTTTGCCTTTATTCTCCTTGATGTTCTTTTGAGGTCTTTCAAGTAAAAGGTACAAAAGAGGCATTAACAATCTGGCATTGTTTTTATTGCTTGACAAAGAAAAAAATGTATTTTAATTTTTCCCGTGTTTCAGGAATGATTAAGCAAGCTGTTTTCATCTACACCGAGTCACTTTCAGCAGACCTCTAACTGTGAGCAAAGAATTGTGAAGACTGTTCTAGAGAGAAATCAACACAGTTCAACCAAGCCAGCCTGTAAATGCACTTCTTTGCCCCTCTACGAACCAGCATCTTTCAGTTAATGCAGCTTTCAAAAGCAGTATATATAAATCACATACTATGAGTAACAGCACGTAAAAAGACAGGTTTGATAACCCACAGTTTGGCTCTGATTCTCTGTGGATTTGGGATATGGCATCTAGCTTAATTCCTACCTGGTGGCATAACATCTAAGCATAAAACTTAATATGGGGGTACATAAAAATGTTAATGTCAAGAAATAATTCTAAAACAGGCAACATAAAGCTATGCTTCTCAGTTGCCATAGATGATGTGTTCGTTTTATCTGGAAGTTCCTTGAGGGGAATGGATCTGTATAATGACGTAGGCGTGCCAAAGAAAACAGCTTGCATTTTCTGGACTGGAAAGCAAAAAATAAGCCTTCTCAAACCAAGAGTTTTCTCCTATGGACTGGAATAATGGAAATAATTCACACTTCACTGTCACTATTAGGTCATAAAATTTGACTAATTTTCTGACCAACTTATCTCTGGATTCTTTTCTCTCAGGAAGGTGAACTCAGGACATGGTGCTAACATTCTACCATATCATACAAATGAAGTAAAAAAGAACACTGATTCATGCTACAGTATTAGTATCTTTTTTTTCAACTAGTATATTGAAAAATTCTTTAATATAATTTATTATTAAATTGGCTAACATACAGTGTGTACAGTGTGCTTTTGGTTTTGGGGGTAGATTCCTATGGTTCATCGCTAACATACAACACCCAGTGCTCATGTCAGCAAGTGCCCTCCTCAATGCCCATCACTCATTTTCCCACCCCTCCACTTCCCCATCCCCCTCTCAGTTTTTAAGAGTTTCTTATGGTTTGCCTCTTTCCTTCTCTGTTTGAAACTATTTTTTCCCCTTTCCTTCCCCCATGGTGTTCTGTTAAGTTTCTCAAGATCCACATATGAGTGAAAACATGACATCTATCCTTCTCTGCCTGACTTATTTCACTCAGCATAAGACCTTCCAGTTTCATCCATGTTGCTGCAAATGACATGATTTCATTCTTTCTCATTGTCAAATAGTATTCCATTGTATATATAAACCATATCTTTATCCGTTCATCAGTTGATGGACAATTTAGGCTCTTTTCATAATTTGGCTATGTTTACAGTATTAGTATCTTAGCATGTCACTCAATTAGGGACATGGTTCTCAACTGAACTCAACAACAACCAGGAGAGTTTTTAAAAAATTATAATGGGTATATTCCACTCCACTTCTGACCAATGGAATCAGACAATTCTTGAGGATGGCTCCTACATGTAAGCTTTTTTTTTCAAGTTCCACAGATAATTCCAGTGGGTTAGGAAACACTTTCCTAGAGGAATCAGCAATAATAAATGAGGAGGTCATAATGCCAGATCAGAGAGATGGAAAACAAAATGGTTATTTTGGATCTCTGGTGTACTATGTGGGGAAGATCCTAGGGTAGGACATCTTTCCAATTACAACCTCAACTGCTACCAGCTAGATTGGTAAGCAGCACTTATCACTGAAATCAGGCCAAGAAGTCAGACGTTACGAAGGGCAAATGGAGAGGATATTACCAGTATGGATGTAGGACCAAGCATGAGAACTTTTATTTCCCACAAAGTTGTGTTTATTTTGTGGAGGTCTTCCATATGTTTTGGCTAAAATTTGCTTTGGAAGCAGGGAAGAAAACTGTGTTACCCTATCAATTTTCTTAACTGTCATATACAATTTTTTCCCAACTTGTTTTATTTTCTAGGCTAAAGGATGTTTTGAGAGGAAGGGCTTGGTGAAGATGGAGTGATGGCAAGTATCAGAGAAAGGCCCATGAATGGAGTGAGAACCCAGGGAACAAAGCAGTCAATAATTTAAGAATATAGTTGAATGGCTATCCTTTGAAAAGACAGAGATAGGTCTTTCTCTGAGACAGGAAAAAAAGAATTAAGGATGAGAGGAGAAAAAACAACCTTACAAGAAAGACATGACTGCAGTTAGAGTTCATTCAGGATTCCCTTGCATTTCTAAATAGCAAGTAAGGGCACCTGGGTGGCTCAGTCGGTTAAGCACCTGACTTTGGCTCAGGTCATGATCTCATGGTTCGTGGGTTCGGGGCCCACATTGGGCTTTGTGCTGACAGCCAGCTCAGAGCCTGGAGCATGTTTCAGGTTCTCTGACCCTCCCCTGCTCTCTCTCTCTCGCTCTCTCTCAATCTCTCTCTCTCTCTCAGAAATAGATAAAACATTGAAAAAATTTTTTAAAAAAGCAAGTAAAGGTTAATTATTGAGAGATGGGATACTTAGAGGGAAGCTTAACAGACATTAGGAGAGGGATGAACTTTTGAGAAAGAGAATATTTTGAGCAAGAATAAGAAAGATTGCAGTCGTGCCACAGCTGGAATTTAGAAATTATAGATTTTTGAGGAATGTATTGCAGTTATACATTGTTTCTAGAGCTGTTCAGGAGCACAGAAACAGGAATGAAGCTAGCCAGCTTGATCCTGAGCTGGAGATTGTGGTAAGTGATAGACTGAAAGTTTACAGTTGAGAAATAATTACGAGCACAAGTAACATGGATTCCATACTGAAAGTGGAAGGAAATGGTGGCAAAATGAGCAAGTGGAAAAGATAAGGAAACATGAATGTCTTAGAGGGGTTATGTTCATTCACTGGAGACAGGGAGAGGTATGTATGTGCTGTGTATCCTAAGGTCATGCTTATTTTAGGGTAACAAGAAAAATGTGGATTATGTAGGCTTTCAACTGGCTCAGGCTTCAGGAAATAATAAGTCATTCCTTCCAGTTTGGAAATGCAAAACCAAAGTATGAAGGATATTCAAATTCACTATTGGTAACAAGCACCAGCATGAGAATATCTGCTTCAATAAATTAGTTTACAAAATTCAGACAAACTTTCCATGGCAGATAAAAGAGGTGGAAAAAATATAAAAGCAATCTGTTTAAGATCACCCAAGACTTAACATGATAGAGAGGAATTGCCAGTGTACAGAAATCTGGACCTCAGGGAGGTAGACCAAGCTAAAGGCTGCTTTTGCCCTAGAGGCATTTGTGACTCTAGAATAAATGGTTGAGTTCTGCTTTCCCGCAGAAATGAGAATCCAAACTCCTAAAGGGTAAATCAACAACTACTTTGTTTTAGGACTCCTAAGAAGTATGCTAAGAGTCAGGTTGAAATAAACCAGTCTAGCAAAATCTGTCTTCCTTTTCTGTGCTGATTGGTTGGCTCTGAAAACTTCAGTTTTGGAAACTGCATTATGTAGTCCTGAACTTCAATAACCTTAGACACCTGGAAAAAGCAAAGAAAAAAATCTTCTCAGATATAAGGCAATACCATACTAGGCCTCAATTTATTGCTACAAATAAAATTTCAAATATAATGCCCAACACACAGTTTAAAAACCCAGGCACATGAAAAGACAAGGCACCAATAGAAAAAAACCAAAAGCAAAAGTCCTATAGGAGCTCCACATATGAAATTACAGGGCATAGACTGAAACAATCCATGTTCACTACAGTCAAGGAGAAAAAAGCCAAGTGAAATACTGGCAGGGAAATGAAAACTATAAAAAGTGATGGAGTGTACATAAAAAAGAACCACTTAGAAGTTCTAAAACTGATAAATATAATACATGAAATGAAGAACTCAGTGAATTAACACATATTTATTTGAAATAACAGAGGAGAGGAGAGATAGAACAGAGGACAATGGCTGAGAATTTTCCACAATTTATAAGAATCCACACATTCAAAAGGCTAAGCTGATGATGCATAGGCAAAATAAATAAAAATAAATCTATATCCAAACATAGTATAGTGAAGCTTCATAAACACAAAAGAGGATATTCTAAAATTAAATTTACCATAAAATAGCATTTAATTTAGGAGGTTGTAAATGGACTTAAAATATTTTCAGTTTCTTCCATCGTCGTGGGAAGAGGGAAAATGTGCCAAATAACATTATACTTTCATAAGCTTAGGTGCTGTTCCTAGGGCGGTAGTTCTTAAATGTTTTGGTCTCAGGTGCTATTTATACTCTCACAATTATTGAGGATTCCAAGGATAGTTTTTTTCACATAAATTGAACATATATAGTGATATTTACCATGTTTGAAATTGAAAATGAGAAAATTTAAAAATATGAATTCATTTTAAAATAACAAAAATAGGCCCAGTTCATATTTTTTTTTTAATATTTTTATTGATTTCTAGGAGAGAGAGAGAGAGAGAGAGAGAGAGCGTGAGGGTCAGAGAGAGAGGGAGATACAGACTCTGAAATAGGCTCCAGGCTCTGAGCTGGCAGTCAGCACAGAGCCAGACGCGGGGCTCGAACCCACGAACCGCGAGATCATGACCTAAGTGAAAGGCAGACGCTTAACTGACTAAACCACCCAGGCGCCCCAGGCCCAGTTCATATTAACATATCACATTTTTAATGAAACATACTATATTTTTCACAAATCATGAAAAGAGTGGATTTATATTATATCTTTGCAACTTTCTTTAGTGTCTTGCTTAATTGAAGATAGTTAGATTCTCCTATTTGTTTCAGATTTCAATCCATTACAGTGTGTGTTTTGGGTTGAAACAGAAGAAAAAACATCCAGCTTTACACAGATATGTAGTAGGAAAGCGGAGATAACTGTACATATTTTTCCGTGAATCTATACCAAAATTGGCCATTTCTTAAATTTTATTTGCAATAGGGAAACTGAAACCATATCAATAAAATTTTCTACTATTACATTAGGATTCATTGGTCTATCTTACACTTCTCTGCATTTTTTAACACTGTGCATGCATGATTTGTAACATCACACATCGGACTTTGAAAAACATTACTGCAATGAGATATGCAGATTATTTGAAGTGTTGAAGTTTTCCAATATATATTTTAAACACATTCATTGATATTTCCACTGATCTCATCAGAATAGTCTTTAAGTTTTAAGAAACCAGAAAGTTGATGGTGACAAATACAAATTCTCCAAAATGCTAATTTTGACTTGAAAGCTCCATTTTTATCATTAGTAGAATATGCTGCCTGTTATTTTCTTGAAGTGACAGGTGCACTTCATTCATTTTCAAGAAAATGTCTGCCAA